GAGTAAAAGAATCAATCAAAAAAGTGAAGAGAAAACCCAAGGAATGGGAAAAAATCTTCACCAGTGACACATCTGACAGAGGTTTAACATCCAGAATATATAAAAAACTCAAAGAACAATTGAGAAACCAAATGACCCAATTAAAAGATGGGCTGAAGATCTAAACAGAGTTCTCTAAGGAAGAAATAAAGATGGCTAAGAAACATCTCAAAGTGTTCAACATCGTTAATAATTAGGGAAATGCAAATTAAAACCACCCTAAGGTATCACCTTACCCTAATCAGACTGGCAGGGTTCAAGAGAACAAATGACACCAAATGCTGGCGAGGATGTGGAGAAAGGGGAACACTCATTCACCACTGGTGGGATTGCAAACTCATGAAACCGCTACGGAAAACAGTGTGGAGAACTCTTAAAAAAACTAGAAGTGAACCTATCATATGACCCAGTCATACCACTCCTTGGCCTATACCCAAAGGACTCATACTATTGTAGAGACATTTGTACAACCATGTTTGTTGCTGCTCTTTTCACAATAGCTAAGATGGAAGCAACTTAAGTGTCTCTCAACTGACAAGTGGTTAACAAAAATGTGGTATACTTACACAATGGAGTTCTATTCAAGCAGTAAAGAAACAAGAAATAATGAAATTTGCAGGTAAATGGATGGATCTAGAAAATGTTATACTAAGCAAAGTCACAAGGACTCAGAAAAATAAAAGACATATGTTCTTCCTCATTTGTGGATCCTAGCACCAAATCCCTTTAAATTCTATGTCCTTTTAATAAGACGATACTGTACAGCAGTCTCTTCTGCATGAAATAACAACCATCAACACAACTTCAGCTGTGCCTGATTGCTAAACATTGTCACAATTGGACTTGTTGTCAGTTGTGCTCCTTCATTAAAGGAGGGGCAAGCAGGGTCATTGGACGCCATTGGACCCTCACGAGAGTATCCAGCCACTCTTCCCAGCCAACTGTATGTAATTTGGTCCTAATCACACATGGCCTCCTGGATTTGGGGAGGGATAAAGTATGCAATCTGGGGAAGGCTAGGAAGAGAAGGTTTGACCCATTCTGGGTAAAGGCTTTCCAGTGTGCCTACCCTCAGGTCATACATACACCTCAGCAACTCCTCAATTACCTCAGTAAGTAAGCTCAATAAATTCATTGGTTCCCCAGTAAAACTTTAACCAAACATTGGCTTGACACTAGAACCTTAAAAGGGAATAAGCACTGCTTAGTATCCCCAGGAAAAGAATTCTCACAATGGATGGAAAATTTATTTGTTAATCCTATTATGTCTCATAATTATTAAAAAGAAAAGGAAATGAGAATATAAGATGTTAAAAGGACATGGGAATGGAGATATTTTCCAAAATAGAAAAAAATTGAGAAAGCCTAAGCAAGTGATGAAGGTCTGTGTAGGTTTGTTATGATATATAAAGAATGAGACAAAAATAATATACACATAATCTTTAAATTTCTATGATCATAGTTTAGTCATCTAGTTTAAGGAACAAAATATATATCTAATCAAGGTTTATCTGAAACAGTTGTATTTTTTACCCAAGCTTTATCTACATAGCACATGGTAATTCAAAGTACTAGACTGGTGGAACTAACCTTATTGGATGTTTAACAACCATACTTTGAGGCCTATACTTATCTGGTCAGAGAGACCTAAAGGACAGTTTTTGCTTCTTGCCCTGCAAGGTCAACTAAGTTCCAGGGGAGTATGGAACATCTCTCAAAATATCCTGTAAACGTGGTGAGTCACCTGTCCTCTTGTTCAGGGAGGCCATGGAGACCCCACCAGATGGACTTGAACCAGTGTCCAGTCTACAAAGGAGGGTCAACTCAGAGGAAACATTTCCTCCATGCTTCCAAGTGAAGCCAGCCATGGTCAAGTACGACCTCTGACTTATCTTCACATAGATGGAACTGGAAAAAGGAGGCAGGGGCTCCTCCTGAGCCTGTGTGACCCCTGAGGAATAGAGCCTCAAACGACCTTAAGTGTAAACATAAATTGATTTATTTGGGTCAACTGTATGGTCTTAAACACCCAAAAGGAAAGTATAACCAAAGACTAAAATTATCAGTATATTTCTTTAAGAGTTCAAGGGGTTACATTTCCCAGACATTAGGCTTAAGTCCATATAAAAAGTTATTTAGAAAATTATTTCTCATTGATGATTTTGTTCCTAAACAGAAAGTGCTGCTTAGATGTAAGACTTCAAATCTTGGTCTCCAATACTGTAGTGCCCACCTGTAGCTAAAGGGGAAAAACTGCTATTGTTCTAAAATGATGGCTAAATTTGTTTTCTCCCCCTATCTAGAAGCCTTTCAGAGAAAACTGACACTGATTCGAACCACTCTAACAGCTATCCAAATGCCTGAAAGCAAATCCTGAATCCATCACTCTAGAGTCCAGCCTTGGCAAATAAAAGAAGAATGAGGAGGAACCCAATAGAGGGATGCTTTTGGAATCCCTGGTCAAGAAATTCCAATGGACTCTCATATGAACATTTGAAAACTGCCCTATTCTGACTTTTTTCAAGTTCCCTGTCTAATTACTCTTGTCTTTACTTCACATCTCCTACTCACGATTCAAAGACTTTCTTTCCCCCTCTGAGAGAGAAGAGTTATGCAATTTGAGTCTTTTAAGATAGACCCAATGAAGGGGGTACCCCAATTGCTTCACCCTGCGTCCCTGTCCAGCATGGAAGAAGTCAGAGAGGTCTGCGTCCCAATTCCCTATCTGCAAGTTGGGTAATATCTTCAGAGGATGGTGTGATAAGAATAGGAGGTAGAATTGGCTAGGCAGCTAGGATAAAAAGACCCCAAAGAAAAGTAGCCAGTTTCTTGGCTAAAAGTCACAATATCCTTGGGCCTCTTAGCAACAAACTCTGCTCCAAAGGCCAAAAATGTCAAAAGTATTTAGGGGCATTCATCTAATCCTTAAAAGATTTTACAGTTACCTCTTCAGACGGGGGAATTTAGAGTGGCAAAAGGCCCCCTGGAAAAAAAAAAAAGAGAGAGGTTATCAGAAAAAAGTGATGGGGATATATGGGAGGAATTGGAGGGGAGGGAATGGGCATGGATTTGATCAAAACACCTTATATGCATGTATGAAATTCTCAATAAATTAAGAAAAAAAAAAACCAAATAAGTTGCAAGGAAGAAAAGAGATGAAGGAAGAAAAGAGATGAAGGAAGATATCTATTGACTAGGATACATATCAACCAACTGCAGTGTGAAGGACTTTATCTGGATCCTTATTCTAGTGAATTAAAGAAAATGAAACAAAACATTTCTTAAAAAAAATTTAGGAAGATTCAAACACGTATTTCTTTACTTCATATACAACTTAAAACTCTACTGCAGAACTTCCTTACCATTTCCTTTTTACCTCAGAATATAGTGCACTTTAAGTTCTTTACTCTTCTAGTATTTTAGTGCTATAAACTTGAGTTTGAGATGCAAACTACATTTAAATATTTCTTTTACTTGAATATTATGATTAAAGAATTATTATTGAGCCAGACATAGTGACACATACTTTAATCCCAGCACTCAGGACGCAGAGATAGGGGGATCTCTGTGAGATCAAGGACAGCTTGGTCTGGGGTTATAGGGAGACCCTGTCTTAAAAAATTTAAAAATAAAAATAATATTTTTAAAATACACATTAAATTTTACAACCAGATTAGCCAGTATTTCAACATAACTCTGTTATACTGGCACAGCTGATTATCACTAGGCTCTTCATTTTACACATGCACCTATTTTGAATGTTGAAGAATGTTACACAGGGGCCTGGAGTGATGGCTCAACAGTTAAGAGCACTTGGTGCAGGTCACTTCTCAGTACCTACATCAGGCTGCACAATAATTGTCTCTAACTCCAGCTCAGGGTATCTGACACCCTCTTCTGGACTCTGTGGCCAAAAGATAGATATATCTCAGATAGATAGATATATATGTATCTAGGCACATATGCACATGTATATTCATATGTGTACACACACATACACACATACATCTTTTTAAAAGAGGAATGTTACACAGGAACTGTGCTAATTCTCCAAAGTTATATGAATAAACAATGTAGAGAATCTTAGTTTCCTCTGAAGGTTACAGCTGTTTTGTTTACTGTCTTGACTCTCACATTCTAAAGCTGGAGACCACACTATCTTTTTAGCAGGATGAATCATGAAGCAAAGATGGGATTTATTATCAAGAGATGTTAACATGGGAAAAAACTGGGCCAGGGTGTAGGTTTCTCAACAGTCCCTTAGACCAGCTTTGTACTTTGTACAAAAATCTGGTTCTGATATATCTAGGAACTTACAAATGAAAAAATAAAATGTTAGCAGAATCTAGACTCTATCATTTTAATTGATACTTTTCAGAGTATTCCACTGTATTTTTTTAACATTTTATTTATTTTTATTTTATGTGTATGAGTGTATTGCTTGCATGCAGGTAAGTGCACCCGTGTTGTGCAATGCCCGCGGAGGTCAGAAGAGGCTGTCAGATCCCCTGGAACTAGAGTTAGGACACTTGTTAGCTGTCATGTGGGTGCTGGGATTTGAACCCGGGTCTTCTGCAAGATAAATCAGCGTTCTTAACCGCTGAGCCATCTTTCCAGGCCCGCACTGTTTCTTATATTACTGCTTTTCCCCAATCCTCTACTTTTTTGAAAGATTTTTAGAACCTTTATGTTTTTCATCTCACTTTCTGAAAATGTTTTAGAAATGTACTTTTCTTTTATTCATGTTTTAGCATGCTTCTCTATTTTATTTCTTCCAACTTATGAAGCTTTGCCTAATTTGCCTACTGGAGTTACCATTTATCTCTTGCTTTGTTTTCACAGACATAAATTTTTATATATCTGTAAAATATTTTCTTGAATCATTAGAAATTTCCCCCAAATCTCTTAGTTTTTAAAATACCATGGAACTCAATCTGTGGACTATGCCGACTTTCCCCACAGGTCAATGGTATCTGTAATGTTATTTAAAATTTGTCCTTTATCTACTAAACTAACAATAAGTCAATCAGTAAAACAATGTTAACAATTAATGATATATATATACAAATGTGTGTGTACATATACAAACACATACATATCATATAAAACGTCAAATGAAATTGTTTACTTTGTATGGTAAATAAAAAAAATAAAGGAATTTAACAAAATACTTCTATTGCATATATTATGAAACTGCAGTACCTAAGATTGGCTCTAAAAAGTCTTTTTAAAAAGAGATTTTTTTCATTTATTTTTATTTTATATATGTAAGTATTTTGCCTGCATGTATGTAAGTACATCACATGCATGCAGTGTCAACAAGAACAGAACAGGGAGGTGGATCCTTTGGAACTGGAGTTAAAAGGTGACTGTCAGCAGCCTTATGGATTTGCTGGGAATGGAACCCAGGTCCTCTGTAAGAGCAGTCAATGCTCTTAACCATTGAGCCATCTCTTCAGTCCCAAGTGTTTTTCTCTAAAATGAAATTAACATCGCCCCTAAAGCCTCACCTTTAGTGTAATCAACAACTGCTTCCAAAGCTGCTATCCTGATGTCCACAAAGTGGCCGTACTCCGCATAGGATCTGAAGAGACATGGATCACTTGGTACGTGTCCATTCTTCTGCAGCACCCTTATGGCTTTCAAGCAACTAGGAAAGCAGAAGTGAGTTACTTACTTCCTCTGAGGTTATCATGAACCAAATTCTTTACCTGGCTTTTTAGAGATTTGTCACAGTGTTAAAAAACAAAACAAAACAAAACAAAACTTCATGATTTCAATGTACATTCTACTCTACAAAAGAATAGAATTGTTCGATTTTTATGATACAATTTCAAAATAAATATGTAAATAGAATTAAAACTAATTTCAAAACATATTTAGAAGCTTAATTCCATGTATATGTTAACAGAACAAATTCAGTAAAAAAAAAAAGCAGTAAAATGTAATTTAAATACTTTCTCCAGCTCGGCATGGAGAATAGAAATGAATAGAATTGTTCGATTTTTATGATACAATTTCAAAATAAATATGTAAATAGAATTAAAACTAATTTCAAAACATATTTAGAAGCTTAATTCCATGTATATGTTAACAGAACAAATTCAGTAAAAAAAAAAAGCAGTAAAATGTAATTTAAATACTTTCTCCAGCTCGGCATGGAGGCAGGCGTGGTGGTACAAGGCTTTAGTCCAAGCACTTGGGAGGCAGAGGCAGGCGGATTTTTGTGAGCTCAAGGCCAGCCTGGTCTACATAGTGAGCTCAGGTCAGCTGGGATTACAGGGAGACACTGTCTCTAAAAGACAAAAAACAAAACAGAACAAAACAAAAAAACTTTTTCCAGAAATGTTAATAGTTTACCTACTATAAAAATTCAAAGCTGAGGCCTCTGCCTACCCGCAGGCCTCTCTCCAGGGTAAGGCCATTGCTCCCTACCTGCTTGGACTCCCTCAGCCTCATTCACCCTCCCATCTCCCCCACCGGTCTCTCCTAGTTTGGGTCCTGTTCCATTCCTTGTCTTGGGGCCCCAGACAGCTGGGGAAACAATACTGCTTCCTGATCCTTTTCATCCACACCTACCGTAGTGCCTTCTCTGGGCCACAGGAGCATTCTGGGCCTGGCCCCACTCTGACCTCCCTCTGCATTCCTGGGCTTGTACCACCTGCCAGCCTCATTCTGGGACTGACCTTTCCTCTTCCTTTGCATCCAGACTAACCCAGCTCCTCAGTGAAGTCCCCAAGAGTCCTTGGGGCCTCTTCCCGCCCCATCTGCCTTTCCATCTCTGGGTGGCACGGACACCGCCCCATTTACCTTTGCATCTCTGGGTGGCACAGACACCAGCTGCCCTAGACCAGCATCTTTCCTGGGCCAGGCTCCCAGGCCAGTCCAGCCCCCAAATTCCTGAGGCCAAAATTGTTCCTGGAGGGATCCAGACCTTAGGAGAAAGCCTGAAAACATTTGACCGGCATCTGAATTGGGCTGCTGTGGGAACTCTTGAAGACAAAAGCAATCCGGCCACTCCAATATAAAATCAAAAGAGAGAACCGGACGCTTAGACGAACCAGCCTTTTATGCCCAAAAAGTAAACCACAAAGATACATAAAGTTCACAAAAAGAAGCAGACCTAAACCTGAAGGCCTGAGTTTCACACAAGAATCAGAAACTACAAGAAATTCACATGTCAAAATCAGAGAGAAAAAAATAACATGAAAAACCAAAATAACACATCCCCACCAAACACCAATAGTCCTCCAGAGGAGTACAATGAGAACCCCCTAGAGATAATGCAGGACATAACTCGAAAGAACAATTATAAACATGATAAAAAATTCAGTGAATTTAAAACACACACAAAGAAATCAAAGAACTGAAGGAAGATAGGGATAAACTTCTGAATGAATTCAGAAAAGAGTTAGAAATATTGAAGAATACTCAGGCTGAAATGAAGGAACTGAAACACTCAGTAAGCCAATTAGAAACGACAGGAGAAAGCCT